GATGGAACTCAGAATTCTGACATTCTTCTCAGGGGGGGAGTATTCAGTACAACATGAATACTCATACAATTACCAGACTATATTTTCTGACTGAAGAAAGGGTGAGTAGAGAATACATTTTTCTCACAATTTGGACCTTTCAAGTTAAAGTGATGAAACAGGAATAGTTATACTTCCTGGTCCTGTCTCTGAAATGTTAGGTTACAGCATGTGCACAGCCGTCATTCATTTGGCTTATAGCCTACAGCTTGCTAAGCTGTTTTTAGCATCTTGCTTGTGCAGGTGTGTTTGTTTGTTTGTTTTGAGTGTATAACTGTAGCCTACAGTGTGTATCCTGTTATGTTCCGTCATCAACACCTCAAATCATGCTATACTATATTTAAAACTGTGGGTTATATATTCTCTTTGTGTTTATGCTCCATCAGCCAACCTGACCATCACAGTGTTGGGGTGGAAATTTGTGTGTATGAGCATAAGAATGTATTTGATTGTGTCTGCCTTACCTTCTCCCTGTAGCTGTGTTGGGTCCAGCAGCTCCATCATGTAATCTGTGTCAACCTGTAAGGTGACCACATCACTACGGAGCAGCACCCATGTCAGGCAGGGCAAGAAATCATCTGCTCCAAAAACGGTACGTGCTGGAGAGAAGAGAAGAATGCAAGTTTTAAAAAAATATTAACAGACAACCCAGGTACCAGACCAGGCACAGCCAGATACAGATAACTGCAACCAACAAGTAATAATCACAAAAAAAAAAACCATCTGTGCTACCTGAACTAGCATTAGCACTCATGCTGTGATAGATGCTCTTGCAGACTTTGAGCAGGATCTGGACCTTCTTATCCGGGGAGTAGGCCTCATGCATACTAGTCCACCTCTGTTGGATCCGCTCCAGGCTGACACAGTCAGGAACTCCAACTCCCAGGGACCCTCCTAGTTCCTCCACACTGTTCTTTTCCAGCAGGCGCAGGTTGCTTTGGAGACGCCCGAAGGTGCCATCATTGGTCCGGGAGGTGTGAATACAGGAGCAGAGGTGCGCGGAGACTGGCTTCAGAGCCACTTTGTGGAGCGAGAGCTCTACCAGTGTGTCTACAAGAGGGTCAGAAAGCATGTACAGTGAAATTAGAGCAGCACTAACCAATAATCCCCTGAGTTGTAAAATAAATTATGTTCTGGTGATTACTAACATTGTTGAAATGTAAATTTTCATTAGTAAATTTGTATTGGCAGACTTCACTGCCAGCTCACTCACCTATCTCCAAGTCACTTAGGTCAGTAATACTGTCCAACAACGACTGGAATTCTGGATAGTCCAACAGTGTCTCCCTCAGGGATGTAAGTGATGATCTCACTTCCTGTAAGAATTCAAACCCCATGTCCCTGGCGGGATCAGTCCCTCTCTTCAGTGTCATCTCCACAAACTCCTTCACAGTCTCTGCAAATGCCCCACCTTTCCGCTCACTCATCTCCTGCACACGGTTGTTCAGTCTTTTCCTTTGACTTACCAGCCCACCGAGAGCCTGGCCCACTGCGGAGAGACGATTTATGACCTTGTCAGCTAACCGGTGTGGGGACGAATGGTGGGGTGTGGGGCTTGGCACGTGGGACTCCTGCTCTTCCTCTATGCTGCTGATTGACAGTGAGTCAAGCTCAAGCATTGGGGGCTGGAGCAAGGAGGAAGGTCTGGGCGGGGGTAACCAGACTCCATCTTCAATCCAGGACACTCGGTGAGGAGACTGAGGCACGGGGCTGCCATGGTTCTGCAGCTCAGACCCTGTGGTACCTAAACTTCCAAGGGTGGAGGGAGTAGATGGAGGCAAGCTCCCTGTGCTTGCTCTGTGTGGGTGGCTGCAGGTAGCATCTTGGCTGGGCCGCCGGAGGATGACCCCTTCTGGAGCAGGTGGTGTTGAGGAGGTGCAATGTGTTGAATCAGCTGACTGGGCTCTGATGAGACCTAGAAAAGGAGGCATGGATTATGAAACACCATGTTGATGTGACTTCAGCAGAACAATTAATAGCATTCTCAACACATCACTGAGCACAAAAATTCACTTAAGTTTCCACTACAATTAAAATTCCCCATAACTGAAACTCCTCAGTATTTAAAGAGTGAGATCCTCCAAATTACAAAAATACAGATTACCTCATTACCTACAAGTAATGAGTTTAGCCATGCCATCAGTTTGTTTTATCTGTTAAGGTTTTGCAATATCAATTTTTGGGGTTTCTGGTCTGGAAAAAAAAAATGCTTTCGTGTGAAGTCACTGCAAATGAGATGAGTAGATCAGTACCCGTGATCTTTGTTCTTTGCTTATGTGAAGCTGTTTGAAATGCTTCTGTGTCTGAAATGTACTATATAGATAAAGCTGCCTTGCTTTGCTTCGCCTAATGTTTATATGGTAAAAATTAAGCTAGACCGTGAGATGATTAGCTTAGGTGTGTGTAAAGACTGGAAGGACAAATGGCTAAAGGCCTACCAGCAAATTTAATTTTACTTTAACACAGTATATCTAATTTGTTTATGTCATACAGAAGCAAAAATGTGAAAAAGCAGTTTTGTGGAAATCCAATACATTTGTTAGCTTCAAATGTGCTCATTGGCTATTTTAGCTTTAGCCAGACTAGGTGTCTCCCCTGCTTCCAGTCTTTATGCTAAGATAAATTAACCATCTCCTGGCTCCAGCTCAGTACATGGGTAAGAAAAACTAGATCTGCTTAATCTGCATTCATTTGGGTAAAGTGGTATACCATGAGAACAGTCAGGATTAATGTATAAAAGTAAAAAGTTCTGACCTGAACTGTCTGTGCTGGCAGCAGATGGTACCTGGTCCAGTGAGATGGCTCGTTTACTTTGTAGCCCCGCCCCTGCCCATGTTCGAGTGCTGCTTAGGCGTCGCTCTCGTCTGTAATTGAATGGCACTGTGGAGCACTGTACAGCATTTTCTTTGCTGGTCAGCCATTCATCTCCATGCTCATGAAGGTAGAGAGGATTGATGATACACACGGCACCATTTGTGGAAGTCAGCTAAGAAAACACACAAATATACAAACACAGTGAAGAAACAGGATGGTGTGACACTATTTGCAATTAGTAATGTGACTCATGTCTTCCAGCCAGCGTACAGAGGCT